TTAGTCTTGTACTGGCTATCTTTATGTTGAAGGTTCATGAAATAACAAGGTCCAATTAGCGCGCTCTGTTACAAAGGGAGATGACAAGTCCAGTTAGCAGGTGATTGATGAAGATTAAGGCACCCAAAAGATGGCACGGGCATGAATAGCCCGTAAGTGGTGGCCCTTTTGAGCCATTGCCAATATCAATAGATGATACTGGAGATCTGTGGAGGTGCGACTGCACCCTGCGTGACGGGAGATGTCCCCCGTCCAGTTAGCAGAGGAGCGCTTCCCAATCCACATGTCGGTATGACAGACCCACCTGGGGCTCACGGATCCAGAAATCGAGGACAGGATGCGGAGAGTGGAAACTCAAGAGTGGTGCATATAGCGGCGAGTGAACCTGAACTTCATGTAGAAAGTTTTGGAGTCGCTGCTGGCGAGCAATTAAGAGTTTTCTAATGTTGAAGAGTCATGGCGACCTTCACTCGCCAGACTCGGCACAGAGCTCTTGTTGGTCATTCAAGAATTGAAGTATAGCTGGGCTTGTGAGCCAGCCCGTTCTCACGAGCGTTCCAAACGTCAAGGAACTGCCGTACTAAAGTGCCTTTATCCTAACCTACCAGAGGACCCACGAACAGAAAACGGGACATTATGTCATTTCGCCAGCCGCTACCATTTTCTGGTACGATAGTTTTTGGCCTTAGGTAAAGCATACGTCAAAATGCGACGTGTTATCAGGAGGATGAGTTGTGTGAGCTGAATTTGTTTTCACCCCTCACCCAGGGGCCTGACAGCTGAGTGGAAAGCGCTTCGGATTCGTAGTCCCGAGGTTCCTGGTTCGATCCCCGGTGGAGGCGGAAACAAATGGGCAGAGTTTATTTCACCCTGATGCTCTGTTCACCTAGCAGTAAATAGGTACCTGGGAGCTAGACAGCTGCTACGGGCTGCTTCCTGGGGGGGGGGGGTGTAACAAAAAGGAGGCCTGGTCGAGGACCGGGCCGCGGGGACGCTAAGCCCCGAAATCATCTCAAGATGACCTCAAGATAACCCCAGGATATCCGTTTTCTGATTGGTCACCGTCTCTTCCGTCCGACTAAACGCAAGTGCCTGAAGTTGCACCATCTGTCTCTCTGTCTCTCTGTCAGTCTGTCTGTCTGTCTGTCTGTCTGTCTGTCTGTCTGTCTGTCTGTCTGTCTGTCTCTCTGTCTGTCTCTCTGTCTGTCTGTCTCTCTGTCTGTCTCTCTGTCTGTCTGTCTCTCTGTCTGTCTGTCTGTCTGTCTCTCTGTCTGTCTGTCTGTCTGTCTCTCTGTCTGTCTGTCTGTCTCTCTGTCAGTCTGTCTGTCTGTCTCTCTGTCTCTCTGTCTCTGTCAGTCTGTCTGTCTGTCTGTCTGTCTGTCTCTCTGTCTCTCTGTATCTCAACCCGCTCTTACTGGGCCGTCACTTTGTCTTCGGAAGATGTGAAGGAAGAGTTGAGCTTTGAGGTTAGTGTATGGGGGTTGAGGGAAGGCTGGTGAAGTACAGGAAGTGCCCCTGCATCACTACGAAGAGGTAGTGATGGAGGGAGAGGGAGTGAGGGAGATACAGTGAGTGTTGCAGGGAGTGAGGGAGATACAGTGAGTGTTGCAGGGAGCGAGGGAGATACAGTGGGTGTTGGAGGGAGTGAGGGAGATACAGTGAGTGTTGCAGGGAGTGAGGGAGATACAGTGAGTGTTGGAGGGAGTGAGGGAGATACAGTGAATGTTGGAGGGAGTGAGGGAGATACAGTGAGTGTTGCAGGGAGTGAGGGAGATACAGTGAGTGTTGCAGGGAGTGAGGGAGATACAGTGAGTGTTGCAGGGAGTGAGGGAGATACAGTGAGTGTTGCAGGGAGCGAGGGAGATACAGTGGGTGTTGGAGGGAGTGAGGGAGATACAGTGAGTGTTGCAGGGAGTGAGGGAGATACAGTGAGTGTTGGAGGGAGTGAGGGAGATACAGTGAGTGTTGCAGGGAGTGAGGGAGATACAGTGAGTGTTGGAGGGAGCGAGGGAGATACAGTGGGTGTTGCAGGGAGTGAGGGAGATAACAGTGAGTGTTGCAGGGAGTGAGGGAGATACAGTGAGTGTTGGAGGGAGTGAGGGAGATACAGTGAGTGTTGCAGGGAGTGAGGGAGATACAGTGAGTGTTGGAGGGAGTGAGGGAGATACAGTGAGTGTTGGAGGGAGTGAGGGAGATACAGTGAGTGTTGGAGGGAGTGAGGGAGATACAGTGAGTGTTGCAGGGAGTGAGGGAGATACAGTGAGTGTTGCAGGGAGTGAGGGAGATACAGTGAGTGTTGGAGGGAGTAAGGGAGATACAGTGAGTGTTGCAGGGAGTGAGGGAGATACAGTGAGTGTTGGAGGGAGTGAGGGAGATACAGTGGGTGTTGGAGGGAGTGAGGGAGATACAGTGAGTGTTGGAGGGAGTGAGGGAGATACAGTGAGTGTTGGAGGGAGTGAGAGAGATACAGTGAGTGTTGCAGGGAGTGAGGGAGATACAGTGAGTGTTGGAGGGAGTGAGGGAGATACAGTGAGTGTTGGAGGGAGTGAGGGAGATACAGTGAGTGTTGGAGGGAGTGAGGGAGATACAGTGAGTGTTGCAGGGAGTGAGGGAGATACAGTGAGTGTTGCAGGGAGTGAGGGAGATACAGTGAGTGTTGGAGGGAGTGAGGGAGATACAGTGAGTGTTGGAGGGAGCGAGGGAGATACAGTGGGTGTTGGAGGGAGCGAGGGAGATACAGTGGGTGTTGGAGGGAGCGAGGGAGATACAGTGAGTGTTGGAGGGAGTGAGGGAGATACAGTGGGTGTTGGAGGGAGTGAGGGAGATACAGTGAGTGTTGCAGGGAGTGAGGGAGATACAGTGAGTGTTGCAGGGAGTGAGGGAGATACAGTGAGTGTTGGAGGGAGTGAGGGAGATACAGTGGGTTTTGGAGGGAGTGAGGGAGATACAGTGAATGTTGGAGGGAGTGAGTGAGATACAGTGAGTGTTGGAGGGAGTGAGGGAGATACAGTGAGTGTTGGAGGGAGTGAGGGAGATACAGTGAGTGTTGGAGGGAGTGAGGGAGATACAGTGAGGAATGGAGGGAGTGAGGGAGATACAGTGAGTGTTGGAGGGAGCGAGGGAGATACAGTGGGTGTTGGAGGGAGCGAGGGAGATACAGTGGGTGTTGGAGGGAGTGAGGGAGATACAGTGAATGTTGGAGGGAGTGAGGGAGATACAGTGAGTGTTGCAGGGAGTGAGGGAGATACAGTGAGTGTTGGAGGGAGTGAGGGAGATACAGTGAGTGTTGGAGGGAGCGAGGGAGATACAGTGGGTGTTGGAGGGAGTGAGGGAGATACAGTGAGGAATGGAGGGAGTGAGGGAGATACAGTGAGGGATGGAGGGAGATACAGAAGGTGCGTCGAGGAGTACAGTGTTGGAAGGGAGAGATAGAGGCTGTATGAAGGGAGGGGGGGGGGTGTTGACACAATTGATCGCGAGGGGGGGGGGGGGGGGGGGTGTGTAGTACACTCGCCCGTGGGAACACACACCCTACACTCGCACGTTTGTGTACACTCGCGTATGTACACACGGAGGCATCCCATGTGCACACGTGTCCCCCGTGTACACACATCTGCACACCCTTCTTCCACTCTACAAATCTCACCCCTCCCCCTCACCTACCCCCAGTCAGGACACTGCCACCTACATCATCTTGTGTTACTTATACTGCTGCTGCCTCTCCTGCTGTTGCTGCTGCCTCTCCTGCTGTTGCTGCTGCCTCTCCTGCTGCTGCTGCTGCTGCTTTGTTGCTGCCTTCCCTGGTATTGCTACTGCCTCTCCTGCTGATTTTACTCCTGTTGCTGCTGCTTTTCCTGCTGCTGCTGCCTCTCCTGCTGTTCCTGCTGCCTCTCCTGCTGTTCCTGCTGCCTCTCCTGCTGTTCCTGCTGCCTCTCCTGTTGTACCTGCTGCCTCCTGCTGTACCTGCTGCCTCTCCTGCTGTACCTGCTGCCTCTCCTGCTGTACCTGCTGCCTCTCCTGCTGTACCTGCTGCCTCTCCTGCTGTACCTGCTGCCTCTCCTGCTGTACCTGCTGCCTCTCCTGCTGTTCCTGCTGCCTCTTCTGCTGTACCTGCTGCCTCTCCTGCTGTACCTGCTGCCTCTCCTGCTGTACCTGCTGCCTCTCCTGCTGTACCTGTTGCCTCTCCAGCTGTACCTGCTGCCTCTCCAGCTGTACCTGCTGCCTCTCCAGCTGTACCTGCTGCCTCTCCAGCTGTACCTGCTGCCTCTCCAGCTGTACCTGCTGCCTCTCCAGCTGTACCTGCTGTACCTGCTGCTGCGTCTGCACGTCCTCCTCATGTCTTAGCTGGCACATCCTCCAGCAACAAAAGAGCTCTGGTTTGCCACTCAGACTATGCTCCATTTATGCTAACACTTCTTTCTTCCAAACAACTACGCTCTCATCAACTCCGTTTCCTCCCCCCCCCCCCCCCCCCAGCCTTCCCGGTTACACCTTTCTTACGAGGCGCGCGTGAGGCTGTCTGCGTAGTATCGAATGCTCTGCTGAAGCGTCAATGCATAGAATGTTGTGATTATGTCTGCTGGCGCCGTAATGGAAAATGATGAGAAGGAAAGAACAGATTTGTTGAAGACGCGCGGTCTTTAGTGAAAGTTTATTGCGAATGTGTTATTAATCTGGTGCATGGTTTTCAACGTGTAAATGAATTGTTTTTTTTTTTTTTGCGGTCATTGATTTCCAGCAATTTTCCCCGCGAAGATCACCAGTATTTCTAGAGAAATTATCACTGTTATTAGTGATGATAAAGATAGGTGCCAATATCCTATATGAAGGGGACACCACAATGCAGGGAAAGGCTCTCCCTCTCTTCCTTCACCCCTTCCATGCAGCCTTCCCCTCTCTCCATCTTTCCCGCCTTCCAGGGTTCCCGCGTTTTACCACCCAGGCACGAGCGTACACCGTAGAGAATTAAGCTCCCCATCTGGTTCATTTCTCTTCCACAGGAGAAACAAATGGCGCTGCAGGGGATCACGGGCGTGCCGATGGTGGCATCTTCACCTATCCGTCACGACGGGGCGCCCATGGGCGTGGGCATGGGCGGACCAGTCGACGTCACCGCCTACCAGCCGCCCTGGAAGTCCCTGACGGAGTTCGCTCTCACCCACGACCTGGACCGTCTGGACCCCTCCACCCCTCAGTACCAACAGCTCGTCCAACAGGTAGGTGTTACGGTACGCCCGTGCACTGGCACGCCCACACTGTGGGTCTGCACGCCCACACTGAGTCTGCACGCTTATACGCCCTTGTGTTGTCTTCACGCCCATACGTCCGTGAACCGTTTGTCTGCGTTCCAATTAACCTGTATATAGTTAATCTACGGCTGGATTAAGGAGCATTTGACCATTGTTTATGAGAGCGGGCTGCGTCCTCACCAATAGTGCCCACATGCTTGTTCTCCAGCTGCCAACACCCCCTCCCCCCTTCCCCTCCACATGCTGCCAACATCCTCCCTCTCCCCCCACATGCTGCCAACATCCCCCCCCCCCTCCCTCCCCTCTGAACATGCATGACAAACACGTTACTACGTTACTCACCACTTCCAATTGATGACGTTCGAACTTCTCTTGAACAGTGCTTCGTTCACATCCTCGAACCGCACGTCTCTAAATGCTTCATCCACGTGCTGCAAATACAAACAAAAATACAAATAATCCTTAACAGAACATAAACACCTAACTTTACATTATCTAAACCGAAATTCTAATGGACAAAGTTTTTTTCACCTGATGGCACTGTTCACCTAGCAGTAAATAGGTACCGTGGGAGTTAGATAGCTGCTACGGGCTGCTTCCTGGGGATATGTGTGTGTGTGTTAGAGAGAAATATATGAGATAGATATGACAGAGGAAAATAGGTCGGGAGTCAGTACATAACGTAACCGACGGTAAGAAAGGCGGGGTCCAAGAGCTAGCAGCTCGATCCTGTAGCCACAAATAGTAATACACCCACACAGAAGATACACACGCACACAGCACATACACACGCACACAACACATACACACGCACACAGCACATACACACGCACACAACACATACACACGCACACAACACATACACACGCACACAGCACATACAATACCCACGCACATAGCACACACGCACACATCACACACACACTCAATAGATAACACTCAGTACACACTCAAATACGTTGATACTCGCAAATACACGAACGTAAACATACTCACATTTAAACACATACATACATTCACACATACACAGCTGTATCATAATGTATTCCTGCAGGATTTTAGCACATGCATAAAATAATCGGATCCAAAATTAATATTTTATCTAAACATTAAAACCGTTTATAAAAAACATGAAAATGCTCGTCAAATAATTTGAGACATTGATCTTAAAGAGAACACGTCTATCGTCTCAGAAAACTTTATTATGCGGGGGGGGGGGGATTGTGAAATTGATTATTCAGTTGTAATCAATCAATCAATCCTTCGTGGTCATGGTTTTAAATTGGCTTCACTCGTAAAAAAAAAAAAAAATAGGCAGTGTATGTGAAATTAAACATTGATCTCAAAGAGGAGATGTCTATCTTTTCGGAAAACTTTTGCACTCCCTGTCCTGCGATATGTGGTGGGGGACTGTCATAGGACTGTTAGGGAGCCGGTCGGCCGAGCGGACAGCACGCTGGACTTGTGATCCTGTGGTCCTGGGTTCGATCCCAGGCGCCGGCGAGAAACAATGGGCAGAGTTTCTTTCACCCTATGCCCCTGTTACCTAGCAGTAAAATAGGTACCTGGGTGTTAGTCAGCTGTCACGGGCTGCTTCCTGGGGGTGGAGGCCTGGTCGAGGACCGGGCCGCGGGGACACTAAAGCCCCGAAATCATCTCAAGGTAACCTCAAGGTAGGTTGGTCTGGGTCGGTGGAGCCAACCCAGACATTTTAGGGAGCTCGGCTCTCATGGCGACGGACATAGAGGAGGTGAAATGGCCACAGCGTAAAAAATATAGATTAGAGAATACATTTCTCTGGATATCATCGCTTGTATGCATCTCAAAGTATGATGCACTGGACATACGAAAATATTTTTTTATTTTGTATTGACAACTTGGGGAACTGATTATTTACACAGCTGCCGTAGACTACATGAAGCGTTACACAGTTTGTGTCCAGAGATAGTTATGTGATACAATGTCCCCAACCTCGTAGGATGGTTAGTGACTTAAAGCCACGTGATCAGTAGCGTGACACCATGTGAACTTTATGAAAGTGTCGAATACACCATGTGTCAACTTTGTGAAAGAGAAAACATGCACTCCCTTGAACATTATATTGTAGAATGTCCCATATTGACTGACTTTTGCCCTCTTGGGCTGAGTTATGCTGAACTCTGTAAATACTATCTGAATACTGGAACAGATTGTATGATATCTCCCCTCCCTTCCCTCCTCCTCCCCCCCCCCCCCAGTATGATATACTGGACTTGTACCCACCTGTACCAGGATTAATTATATAACGCAACAATTCTGTAATATATGTGATACATAATCTTTGCCCACTTAATTACACAGAAACTATATATACAGAGCTTACCATTGTCATTCGATGGCTGTGTCTGGGTAGATAATATTATATTCTAATAACCAAGGCGCATCGCACTGCGCATCTTAGTATCCCGGATGTAAACAACAATAATAATAATAATAATAATAATAATAATAATAATATTAATAATAAAAATAATTTTTATTTAGGTAAAGGTACATACATAAAGAGATTTTACAAAGTTTGTTGGCTTTATAGATAGAGTACAGTACTATAGATAGGAACAGTACATACATAGTTGCAGAGTTACAGTACAAACATTCCGTTAGATTTAAAGATAAAGGTAGTACATACAATACCTAAAGCCACTAGTACGCATAGCGTTTCGGCCAAGAACAAAAACAAAACGTTTCACTTTGAGGTTGATATGGGTAGTTTAATCTGATTGATAGCTTTGTGGACAGACGAGTGGATAGTCAACTAATTGTGTAATGAAAGAAATGTTATGATCCTGGCTGTAGTGTATATTGGATGAGCCACAAGTGGAGAGATAGGCTGATGGACTCATTCCCCCTCCCCTACCCAGACCGTCCACTACCCCCTCCCCCATCCGTAACCTCCCTCTTCCTATCCGTGCCTCAACCCCTCCCCCCCCCCCCACCGTCCGTGCCCTCCAGACCAGGCCACCACGGTTGACTTACCTGGGTGACGGCCTGGCTGCGACACCGCCTGTAAACTGACTCACCCGACTTGAGGTGGATTTATTTAGTCAGTGTGGCCAGGTCGCTCGTGGGGGACGTCCCGTGATCACCCACAGTTTGTTACACGTCTCTACGGCTGAGTTTTACGTCCTCCCTGACTGGTTCTGTGCGGGGATTTTGGCGAGAGGTTTATTTTTTATTCTTGAGGGCTAAATGAGTCTTGTATAATGAGGCTGTTGGGAGGATGCTAGTGTTGATGTGAGAGATGGGGAGGGAGGGAGAGACAGATAAAAAGGAGGACAAGAAACAGGAAACAAGAGGGACCGAAAAAATTAAAGATTTTAGCAGATAAATAACAGCGCCGACACCCACTCTAGGTGGTTTGCTCAGAGGGAGAGAGAGGGAGAGAGGGAGCAGATAGAGAGGAGGTAGAGAGGGAAGAGAGGAGAGAGAGGCGAGAGAGAGAGGAGCCAGAGAGTGTACTAAGCCGTAGCAGGAACCCGTCCAACACATTAATACGGTCGGACATGCAGTTCCTGCGATGGTTATCTGCTCGTGTACCTCACCACCCCCCCCCCCCCTGCCCTCCGTCAGCGGGCTGGTTAGTGCACGCCCACCACTCCCCCCCCCCCTGCCCTCCGTCAGCGGGCTGGTTGGTGCACGCCCTCCATCCTCCCCCCCTCCCTGTCCTCCGTCAGCGGGCTGGTTGGTGCTCGGCGCCCACGCTTTCATGCCCAACAGTTCCCCGATGTTGGGCATCAACAAGCAACAGAACTCCTTGTAACAGTTCCAGGCACGTAACGCTGCAGAAACAGAAGGATGACAGATGTCAGGCAATTTGTCTGTACGTGAGTGTAGGTCAGGCTCGACCGTCCAGCCTCTCTCAAGTTTCAGAGTAGCCATAGGCTGACCTAATTGAAAATCCGGGTGATTTAAACATACTCACGCCAGTATGGAACTTCAAACTCTCGCCAGTATTGACAGTAACTTGACATCTAAATCATACTGACATATTTATCGTCAGCTAGAGAGTGTTAACATTAAGCGATGCTGGTCGATGTTTAGAGCCGGCTGAGAAGTAGCTCCTGAATCATGTTTGGCCAAGCTCCTGAGACAGATTTTTGGTGATACATGAAAAGTCTGCCACTCATTAGCGTCCCTATCTGCAGGGGATGGGGAGGGAGGGAGAGACAGAGAGAGAAAGACAGACAGACAGACAGACAGAGAGACAGAGACAGACAGACAGAGAGAGAGAGAGAGACAAAGAGAGAGACAGAGAGAGAGAGACAGAGAGAGAGAGACAGACAGAGAGACAGAGAGAGAGAGAGAGAGAGAGAGAGAGAGAGAGAGAGAGAGAGAGAGAGAGAGAGAGAGAGAGAGAGAGAGAGAGAGAGAGAGAGAGACAGAGAGAGAGAGAGACAGAGAGAGACAGAGACAGAGACAGAGACAGAGAGAGAGAGAGAGAGAGAGAGAGAGAGAGAGAGAGAGAGAGAGAGAGAGAGAGAGAGAGAGAGAGACAGAGAGAGAGAGAGAGAGAGAGAGAGAGACAGAGAGAGACAGAGAGAGACAGAGAGAGAGAGACAGAGAGAGAGAGACAGAGAGAGAGAGAGAGAGAGAGAGAGAGAGAGAGAGAGAGAGAGAGAGAGACAGAGAGAGAGAGAGACAGAGAGAGAGACAGAGAGAGAGAGAGAGAGAGAGAGAGAGAGAGAGAGAGAGAGAGAGAGAGAGAGAGACAGACAGACAGAGAGAAAGAACAGAGAGAGAGACAGAGAGCAGACAGAGAGAGACAGAGAGAGAGAGAGAGAGAAGACAGAGAGAGACAGAGACAGAGACAGAGAGAGAGAGAGAGAGAGAGAGAGAGAGAGAGAGAGAGAGAGAGAGAGAGAGACAGAGAGAGAGAGAGAGAGAGAGAGAGAGAGAGAGAGAGAGAGAGAGAGAGAGAGAGAGAGAGA